TAGAAACTAGTAGACTCGGGAAACTTAAGCCCATATTTCCTCACAAGTGATTTTCTCCCTCCTCTGCAACTACTGCCATGGATTTCTTTGTGAAACTCCTTTTCCTTGGAAAAGTTATCTGTGCTTATTTATCTCCTTTTCTTCACCTTCTACTCTCTCTTAAATCCTCTTCAGGAAAAAAAAAAAAATCCGCTTCAGTTTTCATTTTTAATATCAGTTTTATGGAAACATAATTCACATACCATAAAATTCACTCTCTTTAAAGTATACAGTTTCATGTTTTTCTAGTATATTCACAAAGTTGGGCAACCATCATGACTATGTAATTTTAGAATAAATTCATCATCCCCAAAAGAAACGTCATGTCCATTAGCAGTCACTCCCCATTCCCCTTGGCCACTGCTAATTTACTTTCTGTCTCTATGAATTGGCCCATACTGGGCATTTCATATAAACAGAATGATATATCTGGCCTTCTGTGTCTGGCTTCTTTCACTTAGCATAACTCACTTAGCATAATTCTTTCACTTAACAGTACTTCATTCCTTTTTATGGCCAAATCATATTCCATTGTCTGGCTATACCACATGTTTTTTATACATTCGCTACTTGATGGGCATGTGGGTTGTTTTCCCTGTTTGGCTATTATGTATAATACTGCTATAAATATTCATATACAAGTTTTTGTGTGGACCTGTTTTCAGATCTTTTGGGTACGTACTTAGGAGTAGAATCCTGAATCATATGGTAACTCTATGTTTAACTTTTTGAGGAAGTGCAGAACTATTTTCCAAAACAGTGGCATCATTTTACATTTTCACCAACAGCCTGTGAATGTTCTAATTCTCCACAGTCTCATCCACACTTGTGATTTTCTTTTTTGAATATTGCCATTCTGTTGACTGCTAAGTGACATCTCAATGTGGTCTTCATTTTCATTTTACGAATGACTGATGAGGTTGAGCATCTTGTCATGTGCTTTTTAGGTAAGTTTTATTCTCCCAGTTTCATGGAAGCTAACGCAAGCTTTCAACAGTGCTGACTGTTGATGATACACTCCTTGAAATTCCTTCTTCCATCAGTTTGAGAGCTTACCCTCTCTTGATTTGCCTCCTTCTTTGCTGTATCCTTCATCTGAGTCCTACTTCTTCTCTTCCCAAAATTCAAATGTTGAAGTGTCCCAGTTCTGAATGTTTAGCTCTGCCCACTAGGTTTTTTTTGCAGGACACTTATATCCACCTGAAACTAAATTGTGTATTTATTTTCTTGCTTATTTTCTGTATCACCCTTTGCATTGTAGCTCTATGGAGGCAGGGACTTTGTCTTATTCGTTACTATATCCCTGGTTTCTAGACTAGAACTTGCCTCTAAATATTTTTGCATGAATAATTATAAATGTTAGAAAAATGTAAACAGATGTTATATGAATAAAGAGTGGAGCTCTCCATAATTAAATAAGTTTCTGGATTGCTAATTAAACAAATTTAACCATGTGTCTTTTGAGTGGGTCTTCTCTGACACTATGGTAGTGAGCATTGTGGAATTTTAGTTGACCATGAAAACTTTTTTGGTATGCAGTGCATCATGGATTTTTAAAAATATTCTTCCCGGGCTTCCCTGGTGGCGCAGTGGTTGAGAGTCCGCCTGCCGATGCAGGGGACATGGGTTCGTGCCCCGGTCCGGGAAGATCCCACATGCCGCGGAGCAGCTGGGCCCGTGAGCCATGTCCGCTGAGCCTGCGCGTCCGGAGCCTGTGCTCCGCAACGGGAGAGGCCACAGCAGTGATAGGCCCGCGTACCGCAAAAAAAGAAGGAAAAAAAAAATACTCTTCCCACTCAAGCAGCTATGCTGTAAAATTTAATCAGAGGTTTCGATAGCACTTAAAAAAGTCAATTGTGATCACCAAAGTTCAATATGAAGAACGAATTATGTCGAATTATCTCCGTATGTGCTGTTCATGGGGGTTTTATCAGAATGCCATTCTATTGGAAGGCCATGACAATGGTATTCCTTCACAACAGCGAGGTTTTGAGCAGGCTTTATGGTGATTTCCCTTTTCTGAGAAGTTGAGTGCTTTGTCAGGATCTTGTGATCAGTCTGTCACTTAAGAATTTAAGTCAAGCTCTCAGGCTGTGTTGAGAGCTATGCCCTTGGGGAAAATCACCTATACAGTGAGCTGTTTGCTGTCATCAGTGTCACAGTGAATTTAAAGTGGTTATCAATGATCAAGGGTGGCAATTCCAGGACTGGGTGGTAACAGAGCCTATAGAAATAGCCCTGAACACTAACCCAGGAGAGCAAGGTAAAGAAAAAGAGGTGTGGGATGGGCCTGGACCCGGGAGGTTTCCCTAATGTAAGTTCACAGCCACCTGTATGTCATTAGTGGACAAGAACAGACATATTCTTAAGACAGAGGGTGACCAGAGAGCTGCAAGTCGAGGAAGCATTCAGTAATAGGTCTCCCATAATGCAACAGGGCAGGCAAAACAGTGAGTGACCTTGGGGCTTACATTAGCACATTTTCAGGAGAGGAGGTCAGGAACCAGATGGATCCTGTGAACCATGGTTGCGGTTGTCTAAGTCTGGCCCTGGACCAGCAACATTGATATCACTGGGAGTTTGTAAGAAATGTGAATTCTAGGGGCCTGGCGATCTGTGTTCCACCAAGCCCCGGGTGCACGCTCAGATTTGAGGACCACTAGTCAAAGCAACAGAAATAAGCTTTAGCAACAGAGTAACTTTAACGATGTCCCATTCAAGGAGCTTCTTAAGTATCTTCCCTGCTGGTGTGGGAACCAAGCCCTGAATGTGATCTCTATCTGCTGATTTAAAAATAAATAAATAAACATAAATAAAAAGTAAGAGTAATACTGCTGCAGTTTTATGTATTAAGTATTCAGTATGTACTAAGCAGCACGCTAGGGACATGGTTAGCAGATTTGATCCTCTTAACAGCTCTGTGAGGTCGAAACGGTTGCAACCCCCCTTATGGATGAGGATACTGGGAAATAGGCCTTGTGAGGCAAGAGCAAAGAGCTAGTAAGTGGTAGGCCCAGGATTTGCATTAGGCAGTTTGGCTGGAGAACACTGGTCTGGAATACCTGATTATTGAAAGGTCCAAGGGAGATGGTGGGTGGGTGGACAGATGGATGGATGGATAGATATAAGGAAGAAAGGAAGGAAAGGAGGGAGGGAGGAAGGGAAGAAAGAAGGAGGAAAAGAGGGAAGAAAGAGGGGGAAAGGGTAGCTGGAGGTTTGGGAAGTAAAGATTGAGTACGCCTTCTTTTAAGGGTGGGCTATTTCCATGTACTGTGGCAGTTTTGCCGTCTTGCTATTAAGTCAACTAGCCCACGCGCATCAATCACTTTCAGCCTGGGCTTACCCCGCACTGCTTCCTTCTAAGAATTTGTTTCCATGGGTAGTTTGTGATGTATTTTTCCCTGTTCGTTTTTTCTCCTTGTCTCCCGCTGCTCACATAGTCTTTGTGACTTAGGCATGCACTCGTCCCAGTTGCTGAGGAATCCATGACTGGCTTCATCATTAACTGGAGAATATTCTGGGAAGAACATGTCACTCTTTGGGGACCATGTGCTCAGGGGCTGATGTGAAGCTCCTCTCTGCTTTATTCACCTTGGAACGCCTTGTTCCCTGCCTCTGCCTTAATAGCATATCATTTTCCCCTCGTCATGCAGCAAAGCCACGGGGACACTTATCTCACATTCTCCCGAGGCCCTTTGGAGGCTTGGAGACTTGCAGCCTGATCACTGTAATCAAGAAGGGGTGGGTGTGATCGGAGACTAGGTTTGATTCTTTGTCTGCCTGTCCACATTTAGGCTTTTCCTTTTCACATTCCTCCCCCTGGTTTGTGAACATAGCTCAAGGGCAGGAGCGAGGTTTAACTTCGGCTGAGGTACAATAGAGGCTCCTTGGAAATAGAACTTCTAAATGGCAGTTTCGCCTTGAAGGGTATTGAATTAGATATGCTGTGTGCCTTGACTCATGATCTCTGCATAATAGCATTGCTATGTATATTACCTGGGCGCTTTAGTAGACTAGAGAAACGGACTGTTTAAAAGATTAGCTTCACAGAATCAGCGTTATGTGCTGACAAAGAATGTGGCGGTAAGAGCCAGATGGGCTGGCTTCCTGTGCTGACTCTACCACTTCCTCTGGGGCTTTGACCTCTCTGAGCGTAGATTTCCTCATCTGTAAAATGGAGATCATAGTAGAACTTGCCTCAGGGGATTATTCAGACCATTAATCGAGATAAAAGCTTTCTTATCATAGTAACTCAACACTTAATAAGTGAGAACTATTGATGTTACTATTATATGATTATTATTTGAAGCCCCTGTTCTGTAACTTGCTCCATACTCCTTTCCACTTTCGCTCCTCTGCTTCTTTACTTACGCCTTTGTCTGTTAGCCAATCCTTCTTTCTTGTCAGTTTCAGAGTTCCTATGGTAACCTTTTAAGACATGCTGTCATTTCAAAGCACTGGCTAAATACAACCAAGACTGACAACTATGGGTAATTCCACAGAGCCCCTAAAACACTGGCACTCACACTCTCATATATGCCACCACACTGTCCTCTCTTGTTTTTTTTTTTTTTTGCGGTACGCGAGCCTCTCACTGCTGTGTCCTCTCCCGTTGTGGAGCACAGGCTCCGGACGCGCAGGCTCAGCGGCCCTGGCTCACGGGCCCAGCCGCTCCGCGGCACGTGGGATCTTCCCGGACCGGGGCACGAACCCGAGTCCCCTGCATCGGCAGGCGGACCCCCAACCACTGTGCCACCAGGGAAGCCCCCTCTCTTGTTTTGAGCCTCTATTCTCTGCAGATTTCAGATATAGTTACTGAAGGTGACCATCATCTTCCTCTGAAAAATAATCCAGCAGGAGCCAATATGGAGTAACTGGACTTCATGGAAGCGTCATTATCAAGTCTAGAAATATATGGGGAGATAATCACATTTTATTCTTTCTTCCTTGTACTTTTTCAGCATGTTCACATCCACGTTCTCCCAAGGAAGGCTGGAGACTTTCGCAGGAATGACAGCATCTACGATGAGGTAGGTCTGCTCTCTCTGATCTTATTGTTTGATTATCGGGGCTGGAAGTGTGAGGAAATCGACCTAATGAACCAGGAACCCTGCGTATATGGTCTTAAATGGGATTCTACCCAATAAGACTTGGGAAGTGGCAGTAGAGGCCAAGGAGTTGAGAATGGCCATTGCAGAAACTGAAGACAAATGAATTATAATGATTTTCTTTTTCAAATGTAATGTGGCAGAAACCAAGTGTCTTTGTGATTTCCGTCCTGTCATTTACCAAGGCACTAAACATTTTCATGGAGACACAGCCCAGAGGTTCTGTAGGAGATAATCTAGAGTGCCACCAGTGGAAATCAAGCAGATTGGTATATGTGTTTTTCTTTTTTTAGTTGAATACTACATTTAATTTTAAAACCACTTTGGAACTCGGCTTGCCTCTCCTAACAGCATTTATTCAGAGTGGAACTTTGAGTTATGGTCAGCAGAAACTAGGTTGCTTTGAAGGATGAGTGTAACCCCTGTGTCATAAGCATTTAGCAGTTAACTTATTACTTCCATTCAAAGATATAAGTGTGAAACCACTCTAAAGATGAGCAGCAAGAAGCAGGTGATCTGCTGCTAGGACCTCATCTACATGAGAACCTTCAGATGTCTGTCTGTGCTGTGCGGAGCGCAGACCCTATCATGGATATGCTGGTGTAACATATCAGAAGAAAATTTTAGTTTAAATATTTATTTCAGCAAGGAGAGGGCACCTGTGTTCCCCACGTGTAAGAGCTGATCTGATACCAGTGGGGCTCTGGAGTGCTTGGTTGGAGAGGTGAAAACACTGTTTTCTTAGGCTGAACTGTCCCCTTGAAATCTTGTTTATATTCCAAAAGTGCTTGTGACAGAAGCTGCAGGGCTACATTTCAGCCCAGTTTGAGACATGATGTCCAAGGCTGAGGTTGGTGTGTGGCCTTTCTCTCCTCCACACTCTTTTGCTCTCTCGTGTACACTCTCCCAGTGTCTCAGGTGAAGCAACACATGTCCCTGTCTCCTACCCATTAGGAGAAGCTTCTCAGGAGAAGTAATTGCTAAAAGAGTTTTCTTTTCCCCCATTAATTGCTGAGTCGTAAGTCCCCACTAAGGGAGATTGTGGTACGAGACTTGAAGATGTTGAACTTCAGAGACAGGCAGAATTAGGTTCAAATCCCAGTGCCGTCTACTGGGATTGTGTGATGTTGGAAAAGTCATGTAAACCCTGTGTTTTAATCCCCTTTTCTTTAAAATGTAGATAATATATAATACATACACTTCAAAAGGTGGTTGCATGTAATGTATGACATACTGTACATGAAAAGCTTATTACAGGGATGGGTACATACTTTATTTATTAAAGTATGTACCAGTGTGGTACGTGCTGGTAAAGTATGTACCAGCATTTATTAATAATTAACTGTTTCTGTTCTTATTACCGTTATTAGTTTTGTTTTTAAAAAACCAGCAACGGTGAGTAAATGGAAAACCTGGCTTTGAAGCCAGGTCGTTGGATGCCCCCATCCAGCGCTCTTTTCAAGGGTCAGATTTCCAATTCTCCCTCTGTCTTAAACTGCTCACTCTGAGATTCATCTTACTCTTTGTGCAAAAATACGTCTCCAGTTTGAGCGCATAATAAGATAACGCCTAGGAAGCAGCACGAGAAACATGAGGCATTGCACAGGCGTTATTGGTACAAGATGTAATGGACATTAGACTGAGTGACCTTAATCAGAAATGATGGAGTAATGAGGGGCAGCATTCTTTATACTGATGGGAGTACTCACCCCCGATTATGCATCTCTCCATGAAATACAACAAACATACTGCCTGGGAGGGTGGGCAGTGGGAGCAGGGACAGCAGGAGACTGAACTCCGTAGAATGGAATTGTATTCCTACTGCTGCAGAAATAGAAAATGATGCCGGGAGAAGCTCTAGATGATAAATTGGCTAGGAATGCTGTATTCTCCCTGGGCACTGTTTTAAGAGGGATGGTGACAAATCGGAGAAGGTTCACAGAAAGGTGATTAGGATGACAGAGCCTGGAAACTGTTACCTTGGGGAGTCGTTGAAGGTGAAGATGTGTTGTCGGAAGAAGGGAAGGCTTGTAGAGGGAAGGCTATGACCGGGTCACTCTTTCTAAGTATCTGAAGGGCTGGCAGGTAGAAAAGGTATTAAAGCTGTTCTATGTGGCTCCAGAGAGCAGATCTGGAACCGTTAGGCATCAAGGAGTCAGGTGTCAGTTCCACATAACAACAGGTCAAATTTATAGAAACTTCTGAATACTTAGAGTGCCTCGTGAGGGAGGGGGCTTCCCATCCCTGGACCCGTGCGAACACAGAGTGAATGGCCGTGATTCTTCAGGAGGACTTGTCCATCCCGTTCTCGGGTGGGCCACATGGCTCTGTGATTCCTGTCTTTACATATCTGACCATTTGATGGTTACCTCCATTTTTAGGTTACGAAAGTTCTGTAACAAATAGTGTAGGGTTTTTGTTGTTGTTAGTGTTACAGCATTCGGGTTACTGCCTAATAAAATATATCCTTTCCTGTTCAGTTCATGGAGATATAAGATATAACTCTTCCGTGACTTACATGAGCTCACTCTAATGAGTTTTCTCATTCCCAGCCTCTTTCCTGCTTTCCCCCCAGCTCGGCGTTGCCTATTGATGTTCCGTGGGCTTTGTTTGCCTCCTCATATGTGTTTTATTTTGCTTGTGAAGAATTTTTTAATGGTGTGCTTTATTTTGCCTGCAACATATTTTTTTAATGAGTCTGGATGCTATTAGGCGTGTCACTCATTCTCGAGGTCACTACCACTCCCTGTCTCTTACCCGGCTTGCCTCACTTGTTTATGATACCAGCCTGGCCTTTGAAGGCGTTTCATGGGTTACTCCTCTTCTCTCTACCACTCAAATATTACTAGTCCCCAGTATCCTCCGTCCAGTCTGTATGCCACTCATCTGTAACATCCATTTCACCTCCTTACTTCCTCATTTACAATGCTGTGGTCCTGGGTGAGTTCTTTGACCGCAGTAGTGGGTCCGCCCACCTTCCCAGCTCCTCTCAGCCTCATTCCTTCTCACCACTTGCTTTTGTCAAATTCTCTTTCCCACCGCAGGGACTTTGCACATGTTGTTTTCTTTGACTGTACCTTCTTCCATCTTCTCTTCCCCTTCATATCTTCTTCCAAATCTCAGTCCAAATATTACCTCCTCAAAGAGTCCTTTTTACTGATCCCCCCCACCTCATCTAAGACAGCTAATCCCCTATCCCCCTCCAGGAGAAGGCTATCGTATTTCCATGTTTATTTCCTTCATAACATTTACCACACTTGAAATAACTTCTTAGTGTATTATTCAGTGCCTGCATCCCCAACTACACTGTAAAGCCATGAGAACAGGGACCTAATCTGGTGTAGAACAGGTAAATAAATAGTTGTTCAGTGAATGGATACCTGAAAGAACAGGGTGTTGAAATAGAGGAACTTGAAATTCCCTACTAGTCCTTACATAATTTAAAAGGAGCGAATATCTTGCTTTTCAGAAGGTCAATTTATTAACTCATAGCTACACTGGGTGAGATTCTGACATGGTGATATCAGCCATCTGAGGTTATTTTAATGGAGCATTGATGGAATGAAGTCTGTTGGTCAGAAATCAGTGTACAGATGGCTGCAAATTGTGGCACATCAGAAGGGCTTGGTGAAGTAATTATAAACATTGTCTGACTGCTAAGCAAGTCTGGTAGGCATATGTCAAAGCTGATAAGAAACTTGCCTCCCCTGAAACCCAAACTTGCGTGTCTGTAACAAATACAGATGTGGGATTTGCTGAAAACAGGCACAAGAGTTTCCCTTCCTTTCTTTCCAACTTTGATTATCACTTCTGAGTTCACCTTCATCTGCTCTTCCTCCAGCTCTCTGTCCTGAATGTGTCTTTATGCATTTTGTTAGATAATTTATCTTCCTCATTTCAGAGGATTAGTCTCTCTTCTCTCCCTCAAAACCAAGTTCAAACTCCATCTTTTCCAAGACAGAATCTCTTGTAAAGCCCTTTCTTTATGGTTCTCCATGCAGATCTCATTTATATGGTGCTCCTAAACCCTTTCTATATCTGTGTTATTTAAATTTCCATGAATTACATGAGGCCTTGTCTGAACTCAGTGGACCCTTCATTATCTTGACAAGTTGATGAAGATTATGGTAATAACATAAGTGGGTCCTTAGATAAGAGAGCAAGTACAGCTAATGCGGGGGATGGAAACACCCCTTGCCTAATGTCGTGGTATATTATCTCATTAACACAGTAAGGCTTGCCCTAGCTGTGTCCCAAGTAAGCAACTCTCATAACTGTATTGGACAATTCATTGAATGTTTATGGGTGACATTGAATGGTTGTGACTGTGCACTGTATATAAAACCCATTACGGACGAAGAAAGTGACTATTATTCAGGCCAGTGGGACTAGCAATCAGCAATTGGAAAAACTCAACCATGAATTTCATAGACAGAGCAACTGTGGCTTCAAGCATATCATGGGAAACAATTGCTTGGCTAAATACAATGCGTGGACAAAATCAGTTCTCTAAAATGCAGGTCATTTGGCCCTGAGGGCTGGAGAAAACGATTATATTGCTGATAATATTTATTGTTGAACTTGGATCTCTTTCACGCACCATTTGACAATGGGCTCAAAGTCCATGGGTCCCCAGTTGACTCTCCAAAAGGGAAGGAATGTTTCACTGAGACAGTTAATTAGCTTTATTTCAATGATGTCCTCAGACTGAGGGATGCGTTTTACAGTGTTTGAGAATTTCAGATTGTAAACTTTGTTATCTCTTGTTAAGGACGCCTTTGGTTCTTCTTCAACTCGTGAGAACTTTTTTTTCTGTGTGTGGTACGTGGGCCTCTCACTGTTGTGGACTCTCCCGTTGCGGAGCACAGGCTCCGGAGGCGTAGGCTCAGCGGCCGTGGCCCACGGGCGCAGCCGCTCTGCGG